AGGTCTCCATACCCAGGTAATTATGTATTAACTATAATCTTAATCTTGTTTAATTAATTAATTAATTGTAATTAAAATCTTGCAGAGGTTATTACAAGTGTAGTAGCTCAAAGGGATGCCCGGCAAGAAAACAAGTGGAGAGAAGTAGAGTGGACCCCACCATGCTAGTGCTGACGTATACTTCTCAGCACAACCACACATCGCCGCCTTCTAGAAATAACCACCACCGCACGGCGGCGGCGGCGGCTGCCGCCGCCGCCACTTCAGCTTCAGAAGAAGAGTTGGAGGAGGAAGTAGAAGAAAAACCTATGAATTTACTTTCAGAGGATAAATTAATTACGAATATTAATTGTGAAGTGCCGCAATTAATTAATTCCGGCGAATTCGGATGGTTTAGGGATTTCGAGTCGACGTTTAATTACACGGTGATAGAGAGTCCAGCTTTAATGGAGGACAGAATTACTACTGATAATGAATTGGCTATGATTTTCACCATGAGAGAAGAAGACGACGACGACGAGTCTCTTTTCGCCGGTCTTGGTGAGTTGCCGGAGTGTTCAGCGGTGCTCCGTCGTGGGGTGGTGCAAGTAGAGGCGGAGCAACGGCGGTGCAGTTTGCCGACCACCCATTTGTCTTCTCCCATATGAACCGATTCTTGATTGTAAAGGTAAAAATTAATTTCATGAATTTATGTAATTTAATTAATTGTTTTTTTTAAATAATAATTAATTGTTTGTTAATTGGTGAATTAATGTCATAAATTGTGGTTTTTTTTTACCAATTTAATCTTTCACGAACTTGCAATTAGTCATTAAATTTTTTTAAAAAATAAATAAATCTGGATTCACTCAATGGGGAAATCTGACTTCGACGAAAAGTCAAATTTAGAGACAGTTGACTTTTGATCAAGATTCCCATGTTCTCCATTGAAATTTACACACATGATCTTAGAGTTTCGTTTGGGGTAAACATATTTTTAAAAGTTATACTTATTCGATAAATTATTTTAAGTGCTGATAAGTTGTAATGTTTTTTTAGAATTAATTTTTAATGTGTTCAGATAATGAACTTATAAGCTATTTTTACTCATTCCAAGATCTAAAATAAAAAAGTTGGGGTAGAAAAACTTTTTTTTTTTAAATCTTATTTTTTCTCCAACAAATTAATTTTTGAATTATTTTTTTTTTTAATTTACCAACACTTTGGAAGAACTTATAAGCTCTTTTTAAAGCTTAGCCAAACATCCTCTTAATGGAACTTGTTTTTCTTGTTGGCTAACCAAAAACAACGTTGTACTTGAACACCCCCAATAATAGAAGTTACTAGAACATCAAAGTCAATAATATAGGCTACAATTGGATTTTGATACTAGGGACAAAAAAAAAGTATTATTCGCCAAAAATATTCATATATATTTTTCATTTTTTCTCCAAAATTATTTCAATCATATTATGTTCTAATGTTAATCAAATTATATAATGACAAACTCAACCACAATATAACATCCTTAATATTTAACAACTAATTCATCACATCATCATTTATTGACAACACTCAATCCTATATTATTATATATTATCCATTGTACCTACAGCATGAATTATTCAATGATTAAGTAATGTAATCATGATTAAGGCATCTACCAATCACTGCTAAGCAAGTTTTAGGCTCACTAATTCAAACCATCATTTTTTTAATAAAACAATAATGCTCAAAAGAGAAGCTAACAAAAAGATAATTTTTGAATCACAAACATTCAATCCAAAACCTACTTAAAAAAAAACCAAATAGAAATAAAGAATGTTAATCAATATAAAACTAACCTAAGAAGAGCAGCACCCAGCCCCCTTCATAGCAGAAACATCCCGTCCCACATCGAGTTTCTCCCCCTTTTTCGGAACATCTGATTCTTCTCCCTTCTCCATCGTCTTTTTGCTGACAATACGATTGATCTGTGCAAGAACTTCCGTGAAAGCAGTGTCCACATTAGTAGCTTCTAGAGCGGAAGTTTCCATAAAGTAGAGAGATTCCTTCTCGGCGAAAGATGTGCCGTCCTCTGTCGAGACAGCCACCAAATGTCGGAGATCGGCTTTGTTTCCTATGAGCATGACAACAATGTTTGGATCCGTGTGGTTTCTTAACTCGGTTAGCCACCTTTCGATGCTTTCGAATGTGGAGTGCCTTGTGACATCATAAACGAGCAAAGCACCCACAGCACCACGGTAATAGGCACTGGTTATTGCACGGTACCTAAAAAAAAATGACAAACTCGACATTCTTGATATGATAATCTTGTAAGAAAGGAATGCTACTGAAAGGAAAGAAGAGGATTGTTTGGAATGTTATCTTAGGCTCATTCATAATGGGAGTATAAAAGCTGACCCTTTAGTCGCCACACCGATTTATATAATCATTGAATCAATGTCGATTCTGCAGAATTTTCTCGTAACTTTTACGATGTTCTTTAAATAAATTAAAAATGTCCGGTGAATGGATTCACATACCTACTTTTATCCTTGAAACAAGTTACTTCAACAAATGCAAAGAAAAGATCCAGTCTATAACGCTACTATATGGAAATAACATGCACGAGCAAGAAAATAACATGCATCCTCGTAAGAGCTAACTTCACTTTAGGCAGGGGCACTGAGGAATGTATATTTCCTCGTAATTCTGTCAGCATAAACACTCGAGAATATGGCCGTTGCCAAAAAACAGAATAACACTCTTAAGATGGCCTTTCAAGTTGTACCATCTTTTTTCCATGAGATTCAACTAGATACATAACTGCAATCACGTTTGAGTCAATTGCAGAATAGGCTCAATAAACCGTAAATCAATGCGAAAACGGAAACCAATAAATCATGCAACATTGGGGAAATGTGAGTGTGTTAATGAGTTGGATCTAATCTACGACGCCTAATAGCAAGCATTTGTAGGTCAAAATTGATCTAATCTACTGCCTAATAGCAAGCATTGCTAGGTCAAAATTGATCTACTATACTATTTCTAAATAGCAAACAATTCTAGGTCAAAATTGATCAAATCAAACAAGCCTAATAGCAAGCATTTCTAGGGCAAAACTGAAAAACCCATCGCTGCATCGCATATTTTTTTCAGATCTCTCCTACTCAATCCGCATTCCTCTACAAAAACTTTAACAAAATGAAAACCAATATTCTCTTCAAAAACACAAACCCTAAAACCCAATTCTCTGTAACCGAAGCCAAAACAAAAACCCTAGATCAGAAAATTGATGGGAAAAAATAAATTATCACCTCTCCTGGCCGGCAGTATCCCAAATCTGAGCCTTGATAACTTTACCTTCAACGGGCAAACTCCTGGTGGCAAACTCAACTCCGATGGTGGATTTGGACTCGAGGCTGAACTCATTTCTGGTGAATCGTGACAGCAAGTTAGTTTTGCCCACACCTGAGTCGCCAATCAAAACCAGCTTGAAGAGATAGTCGTATTCGTCTTCTGCTTTGTACCCCGCCATTACTGTTTACACTCCACTGATTTTGCACTGAATTGATAGAATCGGATTCCAGTATTTAAGAACCCTAAAATTCAAAATTGAGGAAAGAAAAAGGTGGTGGGAATTGGGGGAAAAGCGTAATGGGGATTTAGAATATTCTCTGTTTATTACTTGTGTGAGTGCAAAAGGTGTTTCATTTTCTGTTTTTTCTTCATTTTTTTTTTTTTTTTATTTATTTATTTATTTTTGAAACTCGGGAGCGGGGAAAATACAATTGGGCTGATTAATTTCTCTATTTGGTTCATTAGGGCACGCATTTTTTCGGAGCTTCCGTTTAACCAATTCGGGCCGCACTTCGGCCCATTTATAAATATTTGAGCCGAGTTAAGCCCAATTTAATATTATCTACAATCTATTTATTAAATATTTATATAAATATAATAAGTCCCATATTTTTTTATATAAATTATATTGAAACTAAATTAATAATTGGACTATGCCGTAGAAGAATAATTACTAGACTAAATAATGAGAATATAAAATCGAATGCCGACAGAAAAAAGCACAAATAATTGTCTTTTTTTTCCTGCAAGAAGCCAATACACATATGGACAAGAAACGAAAAAAGGGTCCCGCAAAAGATCACCTATCAACGGTTGTTAGATCGAGTTTCTCACACATAGTTCTCTGATTGAATTCGTGTATTAATCCTAGAAATATGTCAAAAAACATTTCATGTAAGTTGTTTTTCTGAATAAATATTTTAATTCCCTCAATTTATTTATTTATTATATTTTTTTCCAAAATTTTATATTAATACACTCCAAAAAAACCAAACAAGTAAGTTGTGGGCAAAAAATAGCACATGTAACTCCTAATTCAACACATGAAAAATTGCAAATGTTGTGTCCTAAAACTTCTTATCATGCTACCCACGTCCCACTCTATTATTGCATTCTACCAGCCAAAAATATACTTATATATATATACACATACATATATGTATATATATACACGTATATTATATATATATATATATATATATATATATATATATATATATATATATATATATATATATATATGTGTGTGTGTGTCATCTCCTTGTCAAATACCCCACCACAATCTGAATCTGATGAGAAGCCCTTTTTCATCCATTGTATTATTATTTCATCGACACATTACTTTTTCACTTTTATAACTTTATAATATATTTATTTTTCAAATAAATTCAAGAAAATGTCCATCTCTGAAACCTCATCTTCATCACCCGATCATCATCAACAAATACTCGCTTCACTCTCTCCGACAAGAAAAATTCAATTCGTGTCGAAATCCGTGTCGGAGAGGCTCCTGTCGAAATTCTACGATGTGTCGGAGTTCGACTTCGATTACACGCAGAGCGGGATTTGGTCACCACCGATTCAACGAAGCGCGTTTCTAAACTCGCCCGGAGAGATTTCGGATAAACACGACATGGCCGAGAAGCTCAGAACCGCTCTTGCAAGACATACACGAAGAAAACGCCGTCGCCTTTCATTTAATGTACGTGCATATATATAAATAATATATGTATATATACTTTTCTCAATTTATTGTATTATAAAATAGTTAACCAATATGTTGGGGAAAAAATATAAAAATTGAAAAGGAAAAAAAAAAGAAAAGGAGAAATATAGTGTATCTAAATTTATTTTAGTGTATGATCGGTTTCAGTTTCAGTTTCGGTTTCGGTTGCTTATGGATTGTAGATTATTTTGCAGGCGTGCTTGTGTTCTCCGAAGCGATTCTGAAAATAGAACCCGAAAATTCAACGACTTAACTGTATTTAATTAATTTGTACCATGACTCTTTATTAATTTCAATGTATAAATTTAATTTATATACATAGAAGAGATGTATGTATTGTTTATGGGTGTGAACAATTTTTTGTTGTTTTTTTCTCTTCTGCACTTTAAATTTGTATGGAAACTGTAACATGTTAGTATTTATTTATTTAACCGTGTAAAAAATATATATAATTTATATAAAATCAAATGAAGAAAGGAGGCAGGTAGTCTTTCAATGCATTTGAATTCAGGTACATTTGAATGCAATAAATTTGAGGATCCTACAATATTGTGTAGCAGCCTGCATTATTATTATTATGTATAAATGGCATGTGAGTTGCTGTATTAATTATTACAACACCACATATGTATAAATTCCATTTCATTTAATTTTTTGAATGTGACTCGGAGGAATATTTGTCACCTCAAATATATGTGTATATATATATATATATATATTGTGATATGATCAGCAAGTACTCATATTGATATAGTCATATATATTGCAGTCAAAGTTTGTGTCTATACAATTATCACATTTTAAATAAAAATTGCATTGAGATAGGTCCCTTTTCAAAATAATTACAGAAAACCTCCATATATTTTTTGCGAAATTCAGGATTAAACTGGACGTAAAGCGACTAAGCTGTTTGCGTATAGTTTGATTAAAATATTAAAGTGTATATTATACCTAAAAACAATAAATCAACCATAGAAAAACATAGTTGATTTATTCATCAACAATAGCCGATTACGTAAACTGTCACATAATAGTACAAAAATCGGTGGCATAAAAACTAGAGTGTATAGAACGGATGGGAACAAGCTCTGGTCGAGCCGTAGAGAAAGCTTTCGGTATGAGAGGAGGGTTGTTTACTTGTTTCATTCTTAGGGTGGAGGTTGCTTTGATACACAAACACCTCAACATCAGTGGATGTTTTTGATGTGCAGACAGTGACGCCTCGATGCCGATGAAGGTATTTGAATGTCCAGATCTCGCTGGTGATCATCGTTCGAGTGTCTAATTAATGATTAATTAATAAACTAATTTTTCATTAACGATCAAGTACGTCAATATGCATACTAGTTTAATTACATCATAAATCTACACACAATTACAATTACACATATACATGTACAAATAAACCTTGTTTTTATTTTATGGAAGATATGTACATATTCATCATTATACATACACCACCAAAATCAATTCCAAACATAGATATATAATTCATAAAAAAAAATTGAAAAAAAAATATGAAAAAGATAGACAGATGATTTTTCTTCAGTGCATGTAGTGATGAAGAATAATGAAACGTCAAAGCGATTGAAACGTGAATGTCAGTAGGTTTGAATCAAGACCATAAATATAAATATTTGTTCTATAAATTTGTCGTGGAATATTCTTAATTAATGTAAAAGGAATAATATATATATATATATATATATACGTACAGGCTGCTGGCTGACACTGTTCTGGCGAATGAGCAGTGAGATACATCACCGGCCACAGTCTGTGCTGATTGTACGTATCATCGATTTTAAACCGTTCTGCAAAACAGTACAAACTCATTATTTACTATAAAGTATCCCTCCATAAATACGCACTCATTACCCTTTTTCTACACTTTTATTTACTGGGCCCTTGCAAATAAATATTATATATGACTTGGCAGCCTACTATTTTAATTTTTTTTAAAAGAAATTCTGGTAAAATAAAATACAATCAAAATATTGCTGAATTTATTCAAGCTCATACCATTGATTTTTTATGGCTGAATTGAAAGAATAATTTGATAAATAATAAATATTGTATTTATAATATAAATATTTCTACCTGCCATATTGTTTAAAGCCCAATTACTAGCCACTTTTTAAGTTGGGCTCTATAACAGAACATGGAAAAGCCCATATACATCAGGCCCAATTATAGAAAGTGAAAATATACAAATTAAATTAAATAATTATTTTAAACTTTTAAAATAGGAAGCGATTCGAATTACATACATACAAATCAATATATATAGTTGCATATTCATGTACAAATGTACAAATATGTGTACATTTAATAAATGTATATATACATGACTTTATAAGATCCGCTTGTAATTAATTAGTACTAGAGTTATTCATAAAAATTATTCCCTCTATTCCATAATAATTATTTTTAAAATATTTTGTTTTATACTATCTGTCACTTTAGATTCTCAATACTTTATTAAATGCATTTTTTCCCGTTTTATCCTTGTTAATTCAACTATAAGTATTAACTCTCTCTTATCAAGAATCATTAAATGATCAAGGTTATTTTAGTATTTCTTATGTGTTTTTCCTAAAATCAAGATATGCAAAGCTAAAAAGGATACTTAATAGGGAACGGAAGAAGTAATTGATTAGATCATATTTAAAATACTTTGTATGTACGAGATTAATTACGTTACGATATTCCAAACGGTACCAATGACTCGAAACCATGCATAGACAACTTTTTCTTCTTTCTATAAAGAACGAACAAACAACCAATCAAATACATCCACTACATATATGTATATAACTCGTGTGCAAACTCAACTTAGAAAATATCTTCTCAATTACTCAACTCCATATTCTGTCACTCTACCAATTACGTCACTCTTGTAAACCAGAAAAATCGAAATTTGAAATATAGTGGATATGTATATATATAACGTCGTAGAAAGACTTTCGGCTGCGTAATTAATTAAATGAAAAAAAAATTTGTGTGAGGGGATGAGACACAAAATCCGTGAACATGGTGATTGGTCCATGGCCCTAATGTACTTGCCCTCGCCGGCAACATCACCTCTCTAACCCCCTTTCATGCCGACAATTTCCCCTTTTCAATTAACTCCCCCTACACAAATTTTTTTTTTCTTTTTTCTTTTTTCATGACTAATTATACACACACATGCTTAGTACAACTATTAATGCATACACATATCTATATATATAATATAGAGTACAAGTCAACTATGCGGACCATACCTATGTCGTTTGTGTTACGACAATTTCATGAAAATTTGAGATATTGTTGTTAAATCATTACTGTATTGATAATTGATTTGATAAGACAACAAAACGAGCTGAAATTAAAAAATAAAAAAAATAAAAAATAAAAAAACTAATTGAAATTAGAGGAACACATATGACAAACTATTGTTTGTAAACGATAAGAAAAAAATAAATAAAATAAATTAAATTTGTTTTGCTAAACTGAATCAATTGGCCATGCTGCGTTCGTCTTATGTGACAGAGTCGTTGACTTTAATTCCTCTTTGGAATAAAGATGTATTAAAATTAGAAGCAATTCAACTTTGGACATTATTATTATTATTAGGGTAAATTCCACTTTACCCCATTGTACTCTGCCCAAGAACCACTTTATCCCCTCGTACTCTTAATTTCGTCGATTTACCCCCTTGTACTTGTACAATTTCCCAATACAACCATCTTCGTCAACTTTTTCGATTTTGACTCTGACTCCATTTGATCAAGAGTCAAAATATTGAGGTAAATATTGAATTTTTTCGATTTTGACTATCAAGATTAGAAAAGAGAAAGTTTCACACATTCATATATTTTTTTTTTGCACTGGGTGGAATCGATCAATTTTTGGGTCTTGATTTTTACTAAGTTAGGTGTTCAATTTGGGGATATCTTGGAAGGGGAAGTGGTGGGAGAAGAAGAAATGACAATATTGACGGAGGAGAAACGACGCGTTATAGGCAGTGGCAATTTTGTAATTTACAGAGTTGACCAAACGGCGTCAGAGTCAAAATTGACAAAAGTTGAAGGAAAGGGCTGTATTGGGAAATTGTACAAGTACAAGGGGTAAATCGGTGAAATTGAGAGTACAAGGGGTAAAGTGATTCCCAGGCAGAGTACAAGGGGGTAAAGTGGAATTTACCCTTATTATTATTATTATTATTATTATTTTGGGCAATAGCAAATGATGATGGGATGCATGTTTCTTGTACTACTAGAGATGTGGTAGTTTGTGCCTACCCACAATTTTATGCACCTTCATAATTAATTCCTCAACTTCCTAAAGTATTCGACAATAAAATTTTAAAATAAAATTTTAAATTTAGGCGGCTTTATTAATTTTTCAATAAGGAAGACTCTCAATTACTCACCAAAACCAATGTTTCATTCTGAAATAGTCAATTGACCCATAGAAGTAGAAGATTAAGCTCAAAAGTGTTTTCAATGTGAGAGGTGCGCCGTGCGTGTTAACATTATTCCTCTCTATAACGACAATATATATAGCAACAAAAGCAACGGTCTGAAGCACTGAATGTATTTCAGAGTCAGTGTCTCCCATCGTACAACGAAGACTGTAAGGTGACACCACGTAAGGACAACGAATGACTGAGGTACTGCAGAGAGAGAGAAGCGGCGTAAAAAAATGAGAGATAGGTTACGATTGAGAGAACACTTTTAGATTACTGGATGAGTGGTCAAAATTAGTCAGGAAAGAATGGGTGGTCAAAATCGTTTCGAACTAGGCTTTCTTCCGTCTAAACTGAATCCAATGTTGAACTACACTTACGATATAAATAGGATTGGGCCCGATAAAAGAATAATTAATTCATTATAGGCCCAAAATCCTCACAAAACCACTAAAAAAATAATAGAGACCAAATCTTATGTTAGCCGTAATGCGGCTGCTAATTGAAGTATATACTCCAACAGATACATGCTTAATGACGTTTAATTAAGGGGAAATTAGGTGCTTAATGAGCCAATAATAAACAAGACTGCCTATTTTTTATGCATAAGACTAGTTCAGGAATTGGCTATTTTAACAGATTCATCTAATGCTTAAGCACGAGATTAAGGAAATTGTTTAATGCATAATTTAAATACATGTGAGAATCTGAGGTATTATGTTAATTAACGTCAAGTATGACTTTTTAAGAAAGTAAACTAAACAATAATATGGCATCTTTCTTGATTTTATTCTTAACTACCCAACTAATATTCCCTTAACGGCTTTTCTTGACCTTGGTTTCTCTACTTGTAATTATAAAGGTTTGTTGGATTATTTTTAATTGTGGCCGCAGACGATAATATTAATAAATAAATAA